CGCTATCCGCAAGCCCTTTTCTCCACTTCCGCACGCTTGACGCCGTTGCTTTCTTGGCCGCCACCACCTCTGGGGCACCTTCCTCTCCGCCCGCGCCGCTGCCTTCTGCGGCCCTCGACGCCGCCGCCACCGCTTGCGCTTTCCGCACTGCCGCGTCATCCCACCTCAACACGCCGTCCCCTCCGCGCTTCTTGCGCTTTCCACTCTTTCGACTCGGAATCTCGCCCCACACGGCGTCGCCCCTGGCCATGGCCTCCCGGCTCTTCTCCTTTTCGCACTCCGCGTCTACATTTGTCCGCCTGTCCTCTTTCTCCATGGACGTGCCTCCCACGCGCGTCTTACGCCTGGCCGCCGCGTCGACAATTCTCGGATCCAGTTCTTCGTCGCTGTGCAGCTCGTCCTCGTGCTTGACTAGATCTTCGTCCGTCACTGGTCGCAAGTCCACCACGCCCATGTAGTTCTGCACGTACCTCTTAGTTTCTTCACATGGCATGCCGTTCTTTAACCACTCTAACGAGGCCTCCGCCCACGACCCTTGCGCTCCGCGGAAATCGCGCAGGTGCGGTACTCCACAATCGACATCGTCAAGAAGTGTAGACGCCCTGAAATATACCATCAACAAGAGCCCGTTTCTTTCCTCCTCCCCCGTTCCGTGTTTCGGCTGCGGCGCCCCATGAAAACTTGGGTTCCTCGGGCGCTCGTTCCGCACCAACACCCACGTGTGTCTCAAGGTTTTCAGTTCCGGAACATCCGGAAACGGCACCCAGGAATAACTACCCCATTCGTCCTTTATCACATAATCCACTCCGGCTTTCAGCTGGGCTCCCGGCCGTGCCCCATCCGCGTCGGGATTCGCTCTCTCCTGGTCGGCATCGCGAACCTTCTGAATTCCGGATTGCGTCAGTTGCGCTTGGTAATCGTTGCTGGCCGCAGCTGCTACCTCTGCTCCGGTACGGGGAAATGCAGCCAACTCGATGCGCCAATACCGCAGGAACTCATACAACGATAGGTGTGCCAAGTCGGGCGCACCAGGAGCGTCCACCGGCCGCATGCCATACAGGTACACTGGACTCTTAGACACAATTCGAACCTTTTTCGACCCTTCGCGTTTGTCCGCTTCCAGAATCCCCGACGCCGACACGGCAACGTCGACGCCGTCTGCACAGATCTGCTCCGCCATTCGTACGGCTTCTGCTCCCGGGATCATAGCTGTCTTCGCAGTCTTGATACTCTCGGCACCAGTCGCGTCTCTAGGGTCTCGGTACGCTCGCAGATTCGCACTCTCCTGCGCTGACCGCACCACGCCTCTCCCGTACATGTCACTGAGAAACCTCTTCATGTGCCTGTTCGCTCGGTACGCCGCGGTCCTGTCCTTCGTCTGCTCCGCCAGCGCGTGGTGGCCCTTTTTGATCTCCCTCACCTCGTTGAACGACGGGGCACACCGCTTGCACTGATAGTCCGCCGCATACCCCGCTGCTGCATTCTGCGCTCGTTGCGCTGCCAGAACCATGTCTACGGGTCGATCCGTCTCCCAGCATCGCTCTTCGCACACACAACTGTCGTGCGTCGCTTCCGTCACTGGGAACCTGTACGGGATCTGCAAATCGCTGTTAAAATTCAACCCCACCGCGCCGCTTAGCATCGCTGGCAGCGTTCCGTTCAGGTTCTCTTCGTTCATGGGCCCGTGCAAGCACCCTGTCATGTTCCTCCTCCCTGCTCGCGGCATGTCGCGGTTTTTCAAAAAAACCTTGGCACAACACTACTGCGCGATCTACGAGCCACGTCGTGCGCGGGAAAAAGCTTTTGCACTGCGTCATGTCGTCTGTCCTCTGACAATGTGCCAACGGTACCACGCGCTGCAAACGCTTACTCCACTGGTGCACGTGGTTCTGTCGAAACTCCTGCCCCTTTTGCACCCAGACACCGAGGTACTCTCGCAGCCAGGTTCGCCCTTCCTCAATTCCCTTGTCCCCATCTTCTGTTACCCCATTGCCGCTCGTTGATTTCCTACCGCCTCCTTCCGACCCTCCCGAACCATTAGTCTGGCCGCTGTGTAAGTACTCCGGCGCTGCGACCAGATCCGCGGTCTCGCGGTACGTGGGCCACGCCTTCTCCACCTCCGTTTTCCTGCCCCTCCAACCTTCTACGTCAGCGTACTCCTGACGACTCGCGTTCCTCTTGTACCTCTTGTATTCTTCTACCAGCCCCTCTAGCACATCTGTCGGCAGCTGTAGCAGTTCGTGCAACGGGGTATGCTGGTGCAAACACTGAACGAATACTTGCACGTGCAAATGCAAACTTCCAGCCGACTTCTGAGCTTCAATGCTGCCGTACACCCCGTCCACGCGACCCAAGCACCCACCCACCGCCGTCGCGTTGCTGCCAAGCAAATCCGCGCACTCGCAATCTGGGCACCTCGGACAATACCGCATGCCCAATATGTACTCAAACACAAGGCCCACGATTACCCGAAACCCGTCGACGCCCGCCAGCGGGTCCCGAGCCAGCACTGCTCTTCTCTGGTCCGACGCGGGAACGGCATCTGCCAACATCGCCAGAGGCACTGCCATGTCAACGTCGTCATCACCCTCTGCCCCCTCTGTGCCCGATCCGCCCTCCCCCGCCCGCCCGCGCCGATCTCTCGTCACGGCATGTCCAGATATTTCATCCTTGTGCGCCAGCGACGGCTCCCACAACCCGCCATGCGTGGGGCCGTGCAGTTCCCGCGCAGCACTACGATTCACGGGGTCCTTTCTTCGAGACCGCGACAGCCGCACCATTACCAGGTTGCGCCTCTCGTCTGGGGACATGGTGAAAAACAACGGTACCCCGTGGGCGATTCGAGCAGCATGGGTGTCGTACCTCATGAGCGTCCGCACCTCGTTGGTCCCTTCGATCTTGCGAGCGACCGCGCTGGCTCCTGCAGCCAATCGTTTCGCTATCGGGTCGAGCGACTTCACATATTTCAGCTTCGAGAAATCTCCGCGCACGTTGGAGGATTTCCCGGTTGACGGATCCTTGTACGTACCATACAAAGCATCTACGATGCTCACGGCTGCCTTCTCGAGTTCGCCTTGCGAATACTGGCATTCCGTCTCCCCGTCCTTTCTATAGTCCGCCAAGCGGACGGATCGGGCCATATTCACGGAACTTTGAAACAAAACCGACGACACCGTAAAACCAAACCGCCACTCGCGCCGGAATTGAGACTCCACCCGACGCGTCATGATGCGCGCCCACAGAGCCAGCTCCACGCGGGGCGCCGCTGGGCCACGTCGACGTCGCGCATTCTCCTGCCACTCAGGCATGTCCGGCATGCCCACCCCGTACTTGAAACAAAACGGGAATGCCACGCCGAAAAACCACGGCACAAACTGATTCATCATCGCACGGCCCGGATACACCACGTACCGAATGCGGGTCGCGTCTGTTTCCAGCATCTCCCAAAGCCGAAATTGCAATGTCTCCGTATCCACGTTGGCCGCCTTGTCTCCCATTCTGCTCGTCCTCGCAAGAGCACGCTCGTCCCTGTCTCCACCGCACGGGCACTCGGGTCTGTCGCACCTGCCTGTCCACGTACTTGCCAGACGCAGCGCGAAGCTTTTCGCTTCCATTGCCAATGCGCCAGTCTGTACGACCGCGTTTGCGGCGCGCGGCCTGCCCGACACATGTTCAAATGCACCCTGCCTCAATCTGTTTGCATCCACCTCGTCCACCGACGACTTCTCCATCATGACGGCATTCGGCGTACGCAAGTCCATGTCGCGCGCAGCCGCTCCCACCGAATCTCGCGCCCCATCACAGGGCGTCGCGTTCTTCTGCACCATAAGCTTGTCCAACGTGGTGTCGTGCGGAAGCAGCCGGACAATCTCCGGAGGCACGCCGTCCTGCGGCAATTGATCGGCCTCTCTCTCCATCGCCTCCACGTTGACATTGGCGAAAGCTCGGTGCCCGCGGTGCTTCATCATCTTGATGTGGCGCTTCACAACCTCGCGCCGTACATTTGCCTGATGAATGAAACGCGGCAAGTTGTCCTTGCTCGTGGCGTCGTTGACTTTCAGAAGGATCTGCACCACCGACCCCAATTTCTCACCCACGATTGGCACCGCCGAGTCGCCGCCCTGGCGCCCTTCCTTCTCGAGCTGACGGAGCTCTCGTAATATCCCCTGCCACGGCAGCAAGAAGCTCGTAGCATTCCCGCGCGCCGCCAGACGCCCGCTGTGGAACCCTGCCGTGCTGTCAAACAGGTTCTCTCTGCCCGCGCTGCTTTCCCGGTCGTTCTGGTACTTCACCTCCAGCGAAAAACAAATCATCGACGTAATGCAAGGGCTGCAACAAATCATCTCCATCACCGTCATGCCCTCGGTGTACAAGCGATCTGGCGCATAGAACGCCATCAAGTCGTTCGCAAGGCTCCGGCGCGGGACCGCCGGGGTCGCGGCAACTCGCCGCCGATGCGGCGTTTCCACCTCTACCTTGCATTCCTCGCAAAGAGGCACTTCGCATTCGGGACACGCGGTTCCCTTCTCCTGGCACCCCCTGTGGCACCGCTGATCTTCGGGGCAACACAGAATAAACACTTCACCGCACGGTGTCGGCACTTTCACAAGCCAGTCCGTGAAGTCTTCCCGATACCACGCCTCCTCGAGGTCCAATGCGCTGTTCCCTGGCTCGTGACAGTAGTCCCGCAGGTACGCGTCGATGCTGAACCGCGCTTGCACTTCCTTCATGGTCCAATCACCAAACCGAACCACCCGCGTCGGGTCGCCCACGGCTGCCTTAAACGGTTGCTCCCAGGCAATCTGGTTCCCCCGTCTACCTTCCACCCAAGGAAACGTGCAGGCGCACAGAAAACAAATTGGAGACGCGATGCTCTTCTGTTGCGTTGCTTTCGCGTACATGGCCAGGCTCCGTCTGTGCAAGGAGTATGCCGCTAGCGGCGCACCACCCCGAACAGCACGTGCAACGATTGCATTGTACGCCGCCGTGATACAGAGGTCCTCGTCCACGTCCGCTGGATGAACAAGTTCGGCGATGGGCAGCACGACGGAACCGTGCACCTCGCGGACGTGCCCGCACAACTCGCCTTCTACCTCCGACCGCCACGTACATCCCACGAACGCACAGTGCACGACTGGCAACTCCACGGCCATGTCCTCCGCCAGGGCTTGCGACCATGGTTGCGCGGGGTCGTCTGGATCCGCGGGCACGGGTGGGTGACGCCGTACACTGGCTGCAGCAGCTGCCACGAGGACTTCTCGGGTCCGTCGGGGATCTTTCGACGCCGCGTCTACGCCGACATTGTAGAACGCCTGCTGCATTGCGTCCGCTGGGGGGGCGCCGTCTCCGACGCTCCCCGATGGATCTTTCTCCTTTCCTTTCTCCCCGGCCGCGTTTCCACCGCCGCCCGCTGCCGATCCGATGGCGCTTCCCGCGCAGTCGGCGGCGCACCCAGCCGCGTCGCCACACCCCCCCCCGCTCCACGCGGCAACCAAACCTTTCCTCGATTTGCCGCTGTCGCCCACGGTGGCCCCAGCCCGCCGCCGCTTGCGTGCTCCGGCTTCTTGTGCCCCGGGCTCATGGCCAGGTGGTGGCGGCGCCAGCGCGCCCGAGGCGCTCGCGCCGGGATCACTCGCGCTCTCTGCGGTGATTGCTCTCCGCCGCTCACGCGCCACGTCCCTTTCCAGTTCCATGCGCGGCGGCGGCGGCGTTACTCTTGGACGCTCCTCCACCCGCCTATTAGCGTTCTCGTTGCACGCAGCGTACTGGTCGCGCAACGCCCGCGGTAGCGTCGTATCGGTCCAGAAAGCCCGACCGTCGAGTTCCGCTCCTCGGAAATGCGTTGGCTCTTCTCACCACAGCGAAATTTAATGAGAGAAATCGCGTTGTTCGCTGTTGATACTGTATACACAACTGCGCGAGCCGGACGGCAACCGGTCTCTGAACAAGAGGACCCCCAATTGTAGTCTGTCGCTCAAACTGGCCACGTCCGTTTCGGTACCCCAATGCGCGTGGCCTGGGCGGCTCATCACGTCCTCTAATGTGCACCGAAGCTGCAGCAAACCTGCGGCGCCGCGAGGTATGCGAACGTGTATTTCCTGCGACGCCCCACCGCCACGCCGCGCGTCCGTGCATCCAACGATGGCCACGGCGTCCCCGTCGGGTTCGTCTTGCCACGCGCGGACTGCATCTGGAACATTATCTGGCGACGCCAATGCTTGCATATTGCACGCGTGCAGTACTTCGAAAGGATCCCACTCGTCCGGGTGGTCTCTGTGGCGCGCTCGCATGCACGCAGTTATCCTGAAATTCAGCACAGCCAGGTCGTCCCACGCGTGAAACACCTGTGCAGCTTGGCGTCGAAGCTCGAGCATGACCGCGCGCTGACCTTCGTCGAACACACTCTTCGGGATTTTCTGCAAGACGTGTTGCGCTGGTTCGCCACCGTGAACTACCATGCGCGCGAGGATCCCTGCGATGCACAAAAACAAGCAGTCGCCACCACCACCGAATTCTATACCTTGGAGGTACCCCAGACTCCTGCCTGCGCCATTGTTCAACGCGGACACGTAGCGCTGCAGCGCCCCCGACACGGGCTGCGGCGAGCCTCGCGCCCACCCCAACGGCCGAGCGGCTGCGTGACTGGCGCTTCTCGTGCACGTCCTCTGTCCTTCTTGGCAGCTACGGCCAGTTGCGTCCATCGTGGCGGGCACGCGAGATGCACAGTCAGCTGCCTCGCGCCCTCTTCCGTTCGCGCTTCTCTCGTCCTCTCCTTCCGCGGTGGCGCTGCTCGGTGGCCCCGCGACGCCGCGACCGCCGGCAGCAAACCGCAGCCACGGTGCATGCCCACGTGCTCCTTCCACTCCGCGCAGGCTGCGCCATCCTTGACCTACGCGCACCAGATGGCCCTCCGCGAACCACACGGCTGCACCTACACAACTCCCTCCGACATCGCCCAACGGCCATTTTACGAGCAGAGTTCTTTGCATGAAGTGTGCCACACTTTGCGCCTCGTACACCCAGACGAACGTTTGTTGGCAACACAACCATGCCTCGGCGGCCAACATGTTCTGCCGCGCATCCGGATCCCCCATGCTCTCCCCAGAGACCACGTGATTGGCGCAACTTCGTTCAAAACTTCTGAGAGCGTCCCTTCGCCATTGTCCTCGACGCATCTTAGCTATTGCAATTTGGACACACTTATTCTCAAAGCGCCCCAGAGTGTCCACGTCCTCTGCCAACACCCGGAGTTCTGCACACAAAGCAGGCGACGCGTACATGGCCCACGCGACGGCCACTCGCAGCACCCCTTCGCCAACAGTCTCCGCGCCCTCCCTGTTCGGATGGCTCCTTCTCTGTTGCCTCCCTGATTTGCGGTTGCAGCCAATCCCCGGCGAGCGCCGCGCGCGAACTCTGCGAGATTTCCCCGCGCGGCGCGCTTCGCGGCCCGACACGCGCGCAGCAAGACGCAGAAGACACGCCTGCGACGCAAAACGCGATAGTCTTTCCTTTCTGTCGTTCACGGGGCGCGTCTGGAGAGAACCTAGCCGCCGATCACCCCTCTTCTCTGTCATCGGGCGCCCCTGGGACACAATTCGCACGCGTGTCCTTCTCCCCTCGTAGAGGGTTCGCCCGTGTGCGCAATTCCAAAGGCCTCTGCCCTCTCTCTGGACCGGTGACTGCGTTTCGGACCAGAATGGCGATCGCACCCATTTTCTATGATCCACCAGAGGGGCCTGCGGAGTCAATCGCGCCAGCTTCCCCTTTGTGCCGTCCAAAACACGGTCCTTGGGAAAAATCCGCGATAGTTTCCCCCTTCCACCGCCAAGAAACAGCGTCTGCGAAAATTGCCGCGCCGGCACACGCCGTCTGTCATCCGAAAAGGCTGCTTGGGGGCCCTTCGAAATAGTGTCCCCCTTCTTACGTTCGCAGCCTGCATCGGAAGCTTCATCCTCCCAACCCGGTGGACGTCCAGGGCTGCTGCATCTGACCGTTTCAATGCACATCGACTCAGTATTGGATGTTTGCAGCAACGCGAACGAGTCCCGAAGGACTCTTTCGCGTCACACCCCTCCCGGGGGCCCACCTTCAGGCTAGTGGGGTGACCTCTAGGTTGAAATTGGCTCAACCGGAAAAGCCCTTGGTTGCTTAGGGTGCAACCGGTAAAACCCTCATGGCCCGACGGCGCCATCCCCGGCATCCAGGGAAGTACTGCGCCCACCCCACCTAGGAGCTTGGGCTTCGTACTCCCCCTTCCCCCGGAGACGGGCCTCCCTGTCGGCCGGCCCTCTGGAGGGGCCCTGCTGTAGCCCTCAAGGCTTGAGCCTGAGATCGCGCGACGTCCGTCTTCTCGTCGCCTTTCCTCCGTTTCTCCCCTTCCTCCCCTCCCGCCCCTGGCCCCCCCCCTATCCCTTTCCACCCCATGAACTTTCGCTCTACTCCTACTCGTTTGTCATCCTGATACACCGACGTCACACATATACACGTCGACGTCAAGCAAATACGTCACAAGAGCGGAAAAGTCCTGAACAGGGCGGAACACGAGAAGCAGGAGGAGGAGGAGGAGCAGGCAGGTATCCCACCTACTCGTCCTCATGTCTTCGTCCACCTCCTCCTCCTTCTCCTCCTCCTCCTTCCTCCTCCACCTTTCTCCTCCTCCTCCTCCTTCCTCCTCCTCCTCCTCCTCCTCTGAATGGGGACCAGTGCGTCGCTGCCCTCGCGAGGCTCCGCGCGGTTACGAGACGACGTGTCAGATAATCACGCTCAACGTGTCCGAAGTCGGCTCAAAGTAGGTCCCCGGAGCTCTCCCTGGGTCCGTCCGACGCGGTTTTGGACCCCGGGTCCGTTTCTGAGCCCCCCGGGGCCCGAGAACGACCTCCAGACGCCGAAAGGGCCGAAAAAGCACCTAAATCGTTGTCGTCGTCCGCCGTCGTCGTCACCGTCGTCAGTCGTCCGTCGGACGGAACGCCGCTCTGCCAAACTGCAACCACGGTTCGGGGGAACGTACGAGTGACCTTTGGCAGGAGCGACCTTCGGTGCGCAAGAATCCGCTCAAAATCGACCCCCGGACACCTCCCCGGGTCCAAACGCACCAGTTTTCCGAGCTGTGTCCTGCCGTGGTGACGAGGGGGCCCCCCGAGGGCCACAACGCCGCGTACCAAAGGTCACACCGGCGACAGGTCACACTTACGCGTCGGCGAGTGGCGGAAACCAGGGTGACGGAAACTTGACGGCGGCTGGGGGTCTGAACTGGTTGGGCCCCCCGAACATCGGCGACATCCCCTCAACATTTATCCCCGGACCCCTCCCGGGGCCCATCTGGCCGGATCCGTTTTTGACGGCCTCGGGGCCCCAAAACCCCCGGGAGCCGACAAGGGCGACAAAACACCGAAATCGGCGTCGTCGTCCGCCGTCGTCGTAGCAGCCCGCAGTGCATTAGCACCTCCTGACAATAACCAAAGCACGTGCACCCTGCGTGGCCGCGACCACATTTTGCTCGTTTCTCGCGGCGCGCTGCCACCACGCGACAACGGGCGAGCGAGCCGGGCCCCATCAGGAACTCGCCCTTGCTGAAATGGCCCGCAGCCTCCACCGATGCCCTCTAGTATTCGCGCTGCTCCTCCATATCTTCCTCGTTTTCCTGATCCTCTCTCTCTCTCCGTCGCCCATCCTCCCCGTTCTCCCCCGCCCACAGGCACAAGAGGCGAAACAAAATGAGGACAGGGAGGGGAGGCGTGCGGGAGAACCAGCAACAGCAAAAGAACACGAAAAGACAAAAGGAGCAGCGCAACAGAAGAAGAAGGAGGCGCCAAGGAAAAGGAATGTGAGAAGGAAGAAGGGAAGGGGAAGCACGAAGAGGAGGGAAGGCGAAAGAAGACGTAGGAGGGAATACACGTCCTGCAGCAAGTCCGAGGAAAGCAGAGGCAACGCAAACTGGAAGATAATGGGTGGAAGAGAGCGGTCGACGGAAGAGGTTCGGTACATCCCCCTTGCCCCTACGCGGAGACATTCCCTCCTGACCGCATTCCCCCTTTCCTTCTCTTCCTCCTGGCTTCCTCCTTTCCTCTTCCTCCGTCTCCTTCTCCTCTTCCTCCGTTTGCTGACTCTGACACACACCTGAGCCAGCCCTCACACAGACAATGCCTTCCAGCCACACTCCCCCCACTCCGCTTTCAAGTTTGGGAGAGAGGATGCACTCGCTTCCCCTCCCCGTTGCCTCAGTCGTTTCTTCCTTCACGACTTTGGGAACTAGGGGCAGCCCAAGAGCGCCGCAAACGGCGGGAATCCAAACGCACCACCCTTTCAAGCGGCGTCCAGCCGTGGCGACTGGAGCCCCCGAGAACCAGAAAACATGAAACCACGATCCTCCGGCCAACTCCCCCCCACTCGCGTGCTGCCACTGCCCCGTCGGCGCCCGGCAAGCCGTGCAGCAAGAACCCAAGCGAGCCGAAGACGGTGTGGACCACGCCTCCCCGCTCGGCGAGCTTGGGATGGTGGGGGCCGACGACGACGACGACGCCGACGACGACAACGAGGACTGATGGCCGTCTCATGAGATTGTGTCGAGACAGGGAGAACAGAACATGTAAAAGAGTCCTCCACGGGGTGGAAGGCCACAGCGATAGGCTCGCTTGCTTATACCCCCTCCACTTCCTGACTGCTCGGGGCGTCCCGACGTCGGAGATCTGCCCCGCACCTGTCTGCTCCGTCGGATATCCGCTCCGCACCAGACGCGGTCACGAAGATGATGATGACGAGGCTGATGATGGGGATCATGGTGATCATGACGATGATGGTGTTGATGACGATGACGATGTTGATGATGATGGCCACCGCGAAGACATCATGACTCTTTTGCGGGGCCTGTTGGATGCAGTTTGGAGGTTTCGGAGCGGCCCTCGTGGACCTTTTCGGGGACTGCTCGGAGCTTCCATACGGCTCCATGCGTCTTCCCGGGGGGCCCTTCCAACAAAAGACTTCGACTTTCGTTTCATGTTCTCTTTCTTGGGCTCTTCGTGGGTCCGTCTCGGGGGTCCTCTATGGGTCCTCTCGCAAACCGCAGCGAATTTGGTTTGCGCGCGGACACACGCCCGCACGGTTACATTAAGAGGATTCCTTGAAGAGTGTTTTCCCAAATAGTAGGTATCAGCTAAGTGGAATACATGGGAATCCCTCTTCAAGGATGTTTTCCCAAACAATAGGTTTCATGCGAAAGCCTGGGTCCAGCTAAGTGGAGTACCTCGGAGTACCTCTTGAAGGGTGTTTTCCCAAACAATAGGTTTCATGCGACAGCCTGGGTCCAGCTCAGTGGAGTATCTCGGAGTACCTCTTCAAGGGTGTTTCCCCAAACACTGAGCTTCATGCAAAAGCCTGGGTCAAGCTAAGTGGAGTGCTCTGAGTACCTCTTCCAGGGTGCTTTTCCAAAGAATAGGTGTCAGCTAAAAGGAGTACATGGGAGTACCTCTTGAAGGGTGTTCCCCCAACAATAGGTTTCATGCAAAAGCCTGGGTCCAGCGAAGTCGAGTACCCCGGAGTACCTCTTCAAGGGCGTTCTCCCAAAGAACAGGTTTCATGCGAAAGTCTGGGTCCAGCTAAGTGGAGTACCTCGGAGTACCTCTTGAAGGGTGTTCTCCCAAACAATAGGTAGGTCGACGAAAAGGGAGGGGCAGAGGAAGGCAGGCGGGAGACGGGTGGACGTGGACGAGGACGCGTCTTTCTGGCAAAGCGTGAGGAAACGTGGAATACAGATCACCAGGTAGTGATTCTTTGGCGTGAGTACACGCTTGAATGGCTTCATCTTCGGCCAATTGCTGCTCCTTCAACTCCTCCGCATCCTCCTCCATATTCCTCTGCCCCCCCTCCCTCCAGCGCATGCAATTAGTCCACGGCGGCTCCCCTAAATGCGCCCACTTCAAGCTTCGGCACGAAGCGCACGCGTCGGTGGTTGTATGCTTTGACCAGCACGGCGCGCACGCGAATGCTCTTACAGGCGGCGAGAATGGAGGAGCGGGAGCGGGCGAGACACACACAGGGAAGCTTCCGCCGAACGTGATCGGCCTGGGTTCCTGGTAGCACCAGCGAGCGCGCCTCCCCC